AATTAACTCTTAATTGGACATAATGGAGAAAAATGATTTATGTAGTCGACCCCGCATAAATGGGATAAAGGCTTAATGTTGTTGCAATGTTTAAAATTGCGTAATCGGGTATTGAGGCGTTTTTTCGTTCGTGAGGCGAGACGTAAGCCTCAAAATCAAAAGATTGCGTAAACATAAAATGATAAATTTTGTATATACTAATGAGTAAATAATATATAAAACATAAAATGCACAAGATATAAAGTGAAATCAAAATATCCCAATAGTTAGACAACATGAAATGTAGTTTAACTCAAACTACTTCTTTCCCAAATCACAATATTCTTTTCATTAACATATATTTTGAAAAATAAATAACAATGACATATCACATAAAAACTCATAAATCATCAGCACTGTCATCATTAAGGGGGTCTTCATTTGAATCATCATTATGATGAACAACTGATGGGGACATCAGATCATCATGGAGAGTTTATCAGAGACGCGGCCGCCAATCTACGGCCACGATCGAGTCTTTATATTTTTTAGTCGTTGATGTATTTTTATTTTCATGTAGCTTGTTATTTGCTTATGTGGCATTGTGAGCCGTTGTATTTTATTTTATTTTATTTTATTTAGTTGCTTATGTGTTTTCTTTCCCGTAGTACCCCTCTTATGGGAGTTGTCGTATGTAAGCCTAAAGGGCATTTGTGTCTTTTGTTTCGAGTCATGTTGTAGGAGGCTATTTAAAGCCCCACTTTATTCTATTATGGTTAATGAATGATTATTATGAAAATTTTTCTGCACTCGTTTTCTTGGAGCTACTGAGAGCTTTAGAGAAAGAGAGAGTTAGAGATCTTGGTGGAGCCTAGCAGAGGCCACCCGTCGTACCCAACAGTCACCACCACCGGTGGCTCTTGGTTTCCCTACCTTCATTGCCGGCCTCCCTCCACTCGAACCCCTTTCTTCACAAGGCCGCCGGCCACCACTCCACAACCCGCCAGCCACCTCTCCACAACCCGCCGGCCACCTCTCCGTCATCCCTCCCTTGGAGTTTCCTAATTAAGGCTTGGGTGAATTTAGGAAGAATTTGAAATTCAAATTCATTTGTTTGAAATTCAAATAAACTTTTCTAATTCACTAATTCTATTTTAGGAAACTTTTTGAATTCATGCCTAAATAAATTTTCATTAAGAAAGGATTGAATTAAATCTTTCCAATCTTATGAATTTAAATTAGGAAGCCTTGATTTCCTCTCATCAATCCCCCTCATTCATGCTTGCCACCGACCCCATAGCTCTCCCCCATTAATTCCTTTTTCCAAACATTTCCTAAATTCAATTCTAACATAAGAAGTAAATCAAAACCCCATATTTCCCTCCTACCCGAAATTTCATCTCTCTAATTCCTCAATTACTTTCCTAATCCAGGAAATTAATTCTGGAAAGCAAAACCCCCGCCCCTCCTCTACCCGTTGCCTCCCTCCCTGTTTCCCTTTGAGTTTTTTTTTGCCGCCTCCCTCCACTTTCCAACTCTCTCCCCTCTCACGAAACCCTATAGTGAGATCTTAGCATAAACAATTCTCAAATAGTTCCACTCTCACATTTAGAAAATCTGAGATTTTCTTCTCAGATTTTGGCTAGAAAATCTGAGAACTTTGTCAGATTTTGGAAGGACTTGGATTACTTCTACAAGCACCCTATGAAGAGAACATCATCGTTCTTGGACCTTGGATATTCGTCATGAGTAGTTGCTATCATGAAGGATCGCCATGTCTCCTCGAGCAAAGGTTTGTCCTTCTTTCACTTGCATTCAAAGTCTTCTAAATCTAAGTTCTCGCTTGGTTAGATTGTATTCGTGAAAGCCTACTTCGAATGTTCTTGCTAAGCTTAGTAATTCATAGGTCTTTGAGTGTACTTTCTTTGCATCCTAAATCTCGTTGTTAGACTAGGGATTAAATTGAAGGCTACTATTTTGCATTGTTTTACTTGTCTTAATTATCTTGAAAATTTCAAAGCTTGGAGCATGTTAATTAGCCTACGCAAATCACATCTTTATTTGTTTTAATTGACGTTGAGAATTGCTAATAATTTTAAGCCAAAATTATTCTAATCAAAGAATTGTGCAATGTTTAAAATGAAGCCATAAGCATGTCACCTAAGTAGTCCTGCATCAACAACTCTCCCCTTCCTCCTCTCCTATAAAGTCTAATGTCTCCCAATCAGGTCCTTCCTCAATATCAGTCATCTTCCTATTCCCTAAATATTTTTGAACAATATTAAAATAAATAATAGTGTAATACATTAATAAAAGTTTAAGAAAACTATATTATTTATATACCTTTTTTTTATTTATTTTTGATTTGTGGTGGATGTAAATGCTTTAAGACCATCAAAGAAATCAATATTTAAATCATCATCTTTTAATTCAGACGGCATCACTTCAACTTCATCATCTACAAACCACTCATCATCAGATGTCACATCCTTGCAAAACAAAAGATATTTATCATCCATTAATCATTTTTTCTTTAAATTCTTATCTCTGAGTCTCCTATTGTACATAATGTACACCAGTGAATTCATTCTTAGTGTCGACAAACGATTTCTCCTCTTTGTATTTACTTGGTTGTAGGTACTCTAATTTCTTTCACAACTAAATGAAGAGCATGTCAAACCCAAAATTTTCACAACAAAACGCTGCAATTCTGGTGTCCCGTCGCTAAATTGAATCCACCACTCAACTAATATTTATATAAGAGAGTTTAATTAGTGCAAAAAAAAACATTTAAATAAATGTTTAAAACATTAAATAAAATTACGTGAAGATCGTTTGACAATTGTATTATTTGCTTGTTGTAATCCAAAAATGTCTTCTTTGTTCTTAAAAGGTACGAATTGCATGTCAGCATTTGATCTTTCAGTTGCATCACTTATTAGTCATTCTATGCAATGATACAATCCCAACTTTATTTCAGGATTTGTAGATTTGTTCTTTGCATATTGATATTGAAGGTTTAGGTAATAACCAATTGTATTCAAGTGTTCGGTAAAGCTATAGCTTCCACCTATCATCAATAATGTTCCAAATTTCCCTAAAACTACTCTCTTCGCCTCCTAAGTTGGAGGCAATCATTTCTTTGGCTTCATCCATGGCATTGTAGATGAAAACCATTGCAGACTTCTTCTCAGCATCTATCATCCTTAAAACTTGAACAAAAAATCTAGTAGTTATAATGACATATAAGATACTTTGCCAAAATCTATCATTTAAAACAATCTTTCTAGTATCTTTTCCCTCAGCCTTCTTCGTCCAAATACAACTCAACCACTATGTAGATGTGAACATATTCTCTAAAGGTTGTTTAGCATCCAGCATGCTCTCTAAGGTCAAATAAGCGATGACAAATCTTGTTGCTGCTTTGGCCTTAAAATTTCTTTATTTAAAAATTTTCTCATAAGAGCTAGAACCCAAGAGCGCTTGTAAATAAACTTGGTTATTTTTTTGCTTTAGTAAGTGCATTCTTATGTTGAGGTAGCTAGGGCTGCAAATGAACCGAGCCGAGCCGAGTATGTGAGTGTTCATGTTTATGTTTGTTTAACATTAGCTTGTTCATGTTTGGTTCGTGTTTGATTCGAGCTTTATTATTTGTGTTCATGTTTGGTTCGTTTAATTTAAGGGTGTTCATGTTTGGTTCATGTTCGTTTGTTTAGTGCTTATCGAGCTTTAAATAAGTTATGTTCGTGAACATATTTCGCAAACAATCTATTGAACAAGCAAACTTTACATTTGTTCATGAACATCCTAAACAAACAATCTAACAAACATGAAAAAATATGAAATGTTTCTTGTTCATGAAATAAAATTTCTAAAATAAAAGCAGTTGTATATTTAAAATGAAAATATGATTAATTTATATGAATATATTTTCGAAAGAAGTTTACCCGTTGCATTTCTGTCCATTTGGATATGTCCTAAAAGCAGTTTTAATCAAACCCGAATCGAGCTTTTTATCGAGCTTGTTCATGAACATCAACTGATGTTGTTCACGAACATAAACGAGCTGAACGCATTAATGTTCAAGCTTGTTTATTTAAGAATCGAGTATTTAAAATATTGTTCAAATTTGTTTGTTAGTTAATTAAACGATCACGAATGAGCTTTAATCGAATCGAACAACGAGTAGTTCGTCGAACGTTTGGTTCGCTTGCAGCCCTAGAGGTAGCTCCTCAAGCTTCTCAAGAATCAGATCCATGCAATGTGCAACACATGAAATCCAATACAGATATTTCCTCTTCTCCATAAGTTTGTTACCTATGGCCTTTTAAGTACTTGCATTATCTGTCACAATTTGTACAACCAAATATTCTTCAACCTCCTCAACAATGCTATATAATAATTCAAATATGAACTCAGCATCTTTGACCTGGTCAAATGCTTCAACTGAACTTAAAAATACAATACCATAAGGATTATTATTGAGGATGCCGGTCAGACTTCTATGTTTGATATCAGACCACCCATCTGATACAATTGTTACTCCTGTTTGGGCCCAAGTCCTTTTAATTTATTCAATACTTTTATCAGTGGTTTCCAACTCCTTCAGAATCTATGTTCTCAAATCATACATGATTGGAGGTTTGAACCGTTTCCTAAATGCTCCAACTAAACGAATCATGTTGTAATAGGCAGGTGATGTTGCAACTTTAAATGGAAATGCATTTTCGTAGAAGAATTTTCCTATATCCTTACACACTATTCTTCATGCCTCTTTTGCATTTTTTGGGGTCATCTTCTGTGTAGTAGGAGGCCTATCCTCTGATGTGTCCACCATATAATGATCCATAGGCCCTCTAGCACCCCTAGATGAAATGGGCTTCATCGAAGAAAATGAATTCCTAACACTGCGCTCACTCCCGTAGTAAGTGCCAGCATCAACTATGTTCTTAATTGCTTCAGTACAAGATGTTTTGATGTGGTAGACTTATTCATGTATGACTTTATCTCCTCCCTTACAGTATCAAAAGCTTTGGAGCATGGAGCAACATTCTTGTGAGACCCTAAAAGGTGATCCTTCATCCTAGTCACACTACCCTTCACAACTTTGTTATAATAATTGCATTTTAGATAGATATATATTTTATCACTTCCCCCTACATCCACCTGAGTGTTATGTTTCTATGTTGGATCTTTTCTATGATCTGATGCAGCTTTATCCTTCTGATCATCATTTATGAAAAGAATATATTATTGCAATATATCAAACCCCTAAACATAATGCTTCACTTATTCTACATTAAGAAAGCTTATATAAAGCATGCACTTATGAAGAAGCAGACTAACACTAACAACTAATACTTAAGATGATGAATACAATAATATGCCGGTCAGCCGGGGGTCCAAGGGGGTGCTGCCCCCTGGCGGGGTTCGACCTATTTATTTTTAAAGTTCGTAAGTCGTTTGTATGGAAATATACCAAGCGGTACCGAGCATGCACCGAGCATGTACCTAGTGGTGCCAAGCATTATTATACCGAGTGGTATCGAATAGTACCGAGCATGTACCTAGCGATACCGAGTAGACAGACCGATTGTGGAATCTTACTCAGCAGAATATGGAGGTCCTTATGATAGAACGGACCGATCTTGTATTTCACAACAAGTGATAGATGGAATCGCGAAGAAGAAGAGCTTTCAATAGTCGGTCGAAGGAGACTCCAGTTCAACTCGTGGTAGATGAGAACTCCAAGCAATAGGCGAAGAGCAACTCACGGTGGAAAGAAGTCGACGCTAGTCGAATGGAAGGAACTCATGAAGAGGGGAAAATGTCGCTCGAAGAAGAAGGGAGAATAAACCTAGTTTTGGTTCGGAAATGATCGAAGATGCACGAGGGTGGGGGGCCTAACCGAATAGATATATATTAGGTTAGGATTTTTTTTTTTTAATTTTAAGAAGAGGACGCCTCTAAAACATGAGGCGAGGAGGCGCACCTCAGTAAACTTGAGGCGTACGCCTCAATGCTAGCTCTCATTGTGTAGGCTTTGAGGCTTCAAAGTTTAAAATTGCGCTGAGGCGCGCCTCTTATTGCGCAATTTTAAACCATGTGTTGTTGTTATTGTTATAGAAATTGAAGCCTTATCTATAGATACATACATTATATGGTTGTCAATGTGGTTTAGGTTTTAAATACACACAATTAATAACTGAAGTGGCCACAAATTCTATATACTTTTCACCGTTATATGATAAGCTTATATATATTTTCATCGTGCTAAAATACGTTTAAAACATAGTTATTTTCCAATTAAATTTAATTTTGGTCTGGGCATAATTCATCTTATAGCAATTAAAGGATGTTTCAATAATGTATCTTAAGAATCTCTTATTTCTTTTTCAAATTCATGCATTTCATCTCCTTAATTTTTCTCACCATTCGTATCTTTCACTTCAGATGTAAAGAGATCTCATCTTTTAGATTTCCAGTTAATCAAGGAATTAAAAGTAAAAATAACACATTCAACTAAAAATTTTATTCAATTATTAAATTTTGTTTGAGTTTTGTGTAAACTTCAAATCTTTATTTATAATCACAAATCCTGTTGGTATTCCATTTCCATCCATCACAACAAGCCAAAAAATATTGAGGATCACACATGAGTAGGCAGCAGGAAATAAATTCACTGAAGAATCCATCACCAGAGCTCCCATAGCTTTAGAAATGGGAAGGAAGCTCCAAAGGCACGTTAACAGAGGAAGTCAAAGACAAATTGAGGCATCAGAAAATGACCAAAGCTGATGAGAGATTTCCCCTGAACAGACGGCTGGAGGAAAATTTCCTTAGAGAACTGCAGGGATAAAGGATAGAATAAGAATTCCACCGTAAAAAGCTGGGAAAGAGTTGCAAGCAGGTATGTTTTATGTGTCAAATTTGGTAAATAGGCGTTTAGGCTTGTTTTTTGGTCAATTGCTGCACTGTGGCTGGTTGAAGATTAATAATTCTTACTAAGTATGTTTTAATTTTCCTAAATAGAATTTGTAGTAATGACTTTAAAAACTTCATTTTTTTTTCCATTTAAGTGTTGTTAGAATCACACTTTGTGTGAAGCAAAATGACGCATTCTTGTGAAGAGCTAGCTCGCAACAAAGCGCATGTGTTGGGCCGCTTTGCTATATTACGTTGGAGTGTTGGGCATTTAGCTCCTTTGACCAAAATCTTAATTTGTATTTGATTCAATTTCTACCATAATGACTAGACATTATTATTTTCTTTTCCTAATTGTTTCTGGTAATGATTGAATCTGTCCTGATTAGTTATCTGATCTCTCCCACTGGAGCTTGTCATTTTTTTGTGATTCTTTTCCTGTTCACTCCCCCGCGAGTTTTTATACGTTTTTCATTAGTTCATGTTGTTGGTGTTAATAGCTTCTTGCATAACTTCATTATTTGTATTATTCATTTTTTTTGGCTTTCGAATAGGTAGAAATTGTTGCTATTGATGTCTAAGTATATTTGCAAAAAAATTGATGCCTAATGTGGTTGGAATTGATTAATTAAATAAAATTTGTCTGCATAAAATATCTGTTTAAGCGTTGCTTCACTTTACATTTTGTGCATTGAAGTAAAAAAGAATCCTTATGCATCGCATTGAACTTACTGCTTCAAAAACACTGATAATATCAATTATTATGTTAAAAAAAAGCTGCACCTTCTGTAACGTTTAGTCAACAGAAAAGTATGATAAAATTTCCTTCATCATGATTTCAGGAAAATAACAGGAATGAACTTGAAAGGTTTGATAACGAAAGGCAGGATGATTTTCTAAGCATGCTCAGAGGATTGGCAATAAATCAGGTATCCCTCATTGCTTTGCTTCTCTTCAAGATGTCAGAAGCTTATCAATATTTCTTTTTGTCTGTTTTTTGAAATGGATCATAGCTACTACTTTTCCCCTCTTTAACATTTTGATGCTAATATATAGATCATGTTCCTATGTAATTATGTTTTATAATGTCATCTAATAAAATGTTAGCTTAGTGGGATTCATCTCCAAAAACTTTCTAAGCATAATACCCATAAAACATAAGCATTTGAATTTTATAAATAAAATTATATTTCTATAGTGCTTAGTGGATTTTCAATCTTTAGAAAAGGTTGTTAACTGTTATTTTTATCCAACTCTGTATTGTATTTATTTCAATACAAAAATATAGAATTTCAGTCAATTGATGGCTACATTTTATTGCCACCATTATAAATTTTATTGTGATATAATTGTGGATAATTATAATTTTAAATTCTCTAATATAAAACAACTTCTCTTTATATATATATATATATAGGATGACACCTTGTGGAAATCCATTTTAGTCCTAACTTAGAGTTTCTAAGTTCCATGTCTTCTGTTTTTAACAGGCAGGGTATTTCGAGAAAATTGCGGATGTGTGGGGAACTGTTGCCAGGGAAACAAGCCATTATGCGAAAGAGAATTGCTAGGAGGTAAAACTACGAAGCTTTCTCTCAAAAATGCGTGTTCATACATACAAAACACTTTATCGCATAATATGAAAACTTCTGCTGGAGATTTTTTTTATTGCACACATTTTCATGAAATAAAAAAAAAAAACAATAATTGGGTAACGATATTGGACCCAATTTTGATCGTAATGGGTTTAAAAAACTGACATCATAAATGAGTATGATATTATGCGATTTTAATTTGAAGATATGTTTAAAATTAATATTAATGAAAATATCTTATTTGAAATGAAAAAGTGATTTATATGAAATCAAAATTAATGAAAATCTCTTATGTATCTTGAAAAAATTAGTTTAAAGCATTTTGGCCTTTTTTAAAAAAAATTGGGGGAAAATATTGACTAAATTTTTGAGGGGAAAAAAACATTAGGGTGAATTTAAAAATTATATAAATTCAACATATATTATATTAATTTTAAATCAGCTCAATCATTTTTAAATCCATCATATTACAATCTATATTAATATAGTTTGACACTTTCGGAAAATTTTGGTATAAATGGGTCCTAAAACCGGTGATTTATTTTGAGATGAGTATTTTATAAGATTTTATCATATTTTTATGCAATATATTCATCTGAAAATGAATCAATTATTTTGAGATTGTGGCCCTTCTTTTTATTTTTAATTTCTAATCACAATTTAAAAAAAAAAAATAGCAAAATAAATCATTTGTAACCCGATCAGAGGGATTAGATGGCTTCTAGCGTCAAAAGCTTAATTATTCTTTGTATACCAATGCTGTGCTTTACTATTATTTGAAATTAGAAGAATTATGTATCTGGATTTCTTAATTAAAAATCAGTCCTGATGAATTTAAAACTGTTAAATCTATTTTAAAATAAACATATTAAATTTTATTATATTGTTTTAAAATTAATATAATAAATTAAAAACTTATTTTGAGAAAAGTTTATTAAAATGTTTGATGCAATTTTTTATAATTTATTATGCATTCTACAAAGAATAGAACGTAATTTTGAATCTACATTGGCTGGGGTCAAACTATCTAGGGATGATATTTCTGAAATGTGTTCGTTTGGGTAAAATAATTTCTTTGAGAAAATTAAACATCCAAAACTGCTTCGATGGATTCTCAAGTGTCTTATTGTTATTTTTTTTTCTAAATAATCATAAATCTAACTGAAAACTTATAATATTAAGAAATAATTTTCTGCCTAATCTATGATATCAAAGTTTCGAACAATTATTACGTCCTCCGACCGGATGCAGAGAAGCATTCGGTCGTAGGCAAAAAAAACTCGGTACCGAGGTGTACCGAGTTTTTTGAAAAACTCGGTACACCTTGGTACGTCTTTTTTTTGCCTACGACCGGATGCTTCTTCCATCCGGTCAACCGAACCAAATAAAAGTTTCAAAGTTTCACCTCTTTATAATGCTGCAGTAATGTGCTCTGCTTTCTTCTTTTCTTGATCGCATTCACGCGAGCTAAAATTAAATCGGTTTTGTGCTCTGCTTATTGTCGGAAAGTTCAGTGGAAAGAAGGAAATGTTTGCAGTGTGTTTCAAAATCATTGAATTATTTAATGATAATCACCTATTAAAAAAAACAATAAAATTATATTTCAATGTAATTTCTTTGATAGATGGTGCATTGCAGCAAATCATTTTGGCCGAATTTAATGAATATGTTACAAAATACGAGCTGATGAAAACAAATAAGTAATTTAAGCAGAATAAAAAAAAATGTAGATTTAGTAATAAAATGAATAGATAAATATAATTTAGAATAACTATATTTATATACACACGCATACAAAATAGGTTTTAACAATGATAAAGTGGACAGAAGAATTTATATAGAGGATCAAATAGTTGTGATGATGATGTTGATGTAGGGGTGTAACAGGGTCGAGTCGAGCTCTAGTCAGGTCAATCTCAAGCTCGACTCACGAGCCAAATCTTGAGCTCTAACTTGAGTCGAGCTCAAAAGGCGAGCTCGAGCTTGACCTATGCCCTTGAAAACGAGCTCACGAGCCCAGCTCATGAGCCTTCTTCTATTCGCCTTTTCTCGCTCTTCCACAATTCCTTCTACCCTTCGCCTAACTTTGATAAAGTAGTCGATGTAATAGAATATATGGAAGGCCAAATTTTTAGAGCATCATTAAAAATCTAATTAAGCATTAAGTTTCATAAAAAAAATTAAAATAGGTATAGACGTCCCTTAAACAGTGAATGATTATTGAGTCAACTTTATTGGCTCATTTATAGGTTAGTAATTTATATAAAAAAATTAATTTTACGTACATTAATGATCTTGCTATCTACTTTTATACAACCCTACATTGTAATTGTCAAATTAGAAAATTTTATATGTTTGAGAAACTTAAAAGTAAAATATATGGAAGTACTTTTTTTAGTGACAATTCATTTTGCTTAGATATGTGATGTCGAAATTAATTTATGAGTTATTACTGAATGAATTTAAGAAGCTGATTAATGTGGTTAATGTGTATTGCAAACAAGTGCAATGAACTTATTATTATACTGTAAAATTTTAATTGTGACAATACTTTTGTAAGAGTTTTCCCTTAATTGTTGAAGGCTGATAAGTTCTAGATGCATTGTATTCATGGCAGATTTATTATTCAGAGCATAAGATGCTGAAGTAGTTATGCCATGCATTAAAATTTTTCGAGTTAGAGAGAGAAGCAGTGGGTTTTTCTAGAGAGCGAAACTTTTCTTGGTTTTGATTCTGTTTTCGCGGGCTTTTCGGATTGGATCGCATTGGGAGGATGGCGATCCCTGACCGCCGGCAGCGGCTTGCCGGCGGTAATCTTCCATCTGACATTCATCGTAATGTTCTTCTAAAACCGGTTGATCAGAAATCCAGCAGAAATCGCAGTGATTCTTTGGATCAAGAAGCGCGCAGGATTTCGTCTAGTTTGGTGATCAGAGAAGGTTATAGGCCTCCGACGAGATTAGAGCCAATTGTGGAAGGGAAAGGCAAAGGTGTTGTTGTTGATAGAATCACGGAAGGCGAAGTTATTCCAGGGTTTCCTTCGAAACTGGATACAGAGTCGTTATCATCGTCAGATGTTGTTCTGAAAGTGAAGAATTGCGCAGGTA